AGGAGGAGGAGGAGGAGGAGGAGGAGGAGGAGGAGGAGGAGGAAAGGAAGGAAGAAAAGAAGGAGAAAAGGGAATTCGTAGCAGCCTGGGTTGCAGCTGTACACCTTACTCAAATCCCTCTTACTTCAAAATCAATTTATTTGAGAAGCTGTGGAGTATCTGAAGAGGGGTCTTCACTGGCAAGTCATAATGTGAAAATTAATTTAGATAACAATTCTGCCATAGATACCATTTTGTGAGTGTGAGCAGAAAGGAAAGTCAAACTAACATCATTTTCTTGTAAGCCTGCACTCACAAATACCATCTTTATTCTGTCCTTTAGCCTAGAAGCTCTTGCTGATTCTCTGCACAGACGGGGTAGTATACTCCCCTTTGTGCATAATGGTTGTACTTGATTCTGCAAATACAAGTACACAGTATGTAGTTCACAAGAAGATTTTGAAACCATTAAGAATGCATTAGTTCAAATAAAGACAACCCTGAGATATCACCTTACCTCAGTCAGAACGGCCCTCATCCTCAAGTCAGCCAACGACAAATGCTGGAGGGGATGCAGAGAAAGAGGAACCCTATTACACTGCTGGTGGGAATGTACACTTATACAACCATTTTGGAAAGCAGTCTGGAGGGTCTTCAGAAAGCTAAATATTGACCTCCCTTATGACCAGTCATACTACTTCTAGGCAACTATCCTGAACAACAGGAACCAGTATACAAGGACACATGCACCTCCATGTTTATTGCAGCACTGTTCACAATAGCTAGGATATGGAAACAACCCAGATGTCCCACCACAGATGGATGGATCCAAAAATTGTGGTATCTATACACAATGGAATATTATGCAGGCATTAGAAAGGACAAAATAATGGCATTTGCAGGGAAATGGATGGAGCTAAAAGAAATCATGTTGCGCGAGATAAGCCAAGTACAAAGAGACAAACGGCACATGGCCTCGCTGTTAAGTGGATGTTAAATCCAAAATGTTAGGTTATATGACAAAATTAACAGGACTTAAGAAACAAAGGACTTCCACTCCTCTAGTTGAATTACTACTAAATAACCCCATGTTGCTGATCACATGTATGGTATATATGTGCACACTAGAGGGGAACCAGGAGGATGACACAGAATTAGAGGGAATCAGGGAAAAACATACAACAGCTGGACCCATCAGCTGCACTGGACAAAATGAACTAAGCAACTCAATGGCAGCGATGGGAGGGAGGGATCAAGTAGGAAAGAGGGAACAGCTGATGCTATGCAAAACAAAAGAAATGTACATATCACCCAATGTGGAAGAAATAACTGTGTTGCAAAAAAATTGTTATAGACCATGATAGACAATTTGCTCCATGAAAGTTAGAATGTGTTTGTGACTTTAACTAAGCATTACTATCCCACAATATTGTGAAATTTGGGGAATTATGTAACCACTTAATCACAATAAAAAATTTGAAAAAAAATCAACAAATGCATTAGTTAAAATTCCACAATAGACCCCTATCATTACTCTCTCAGAAAAAATACAGTTTTTAACAAATTATATCTCAAAAAAGGATTCTCAGAACATTTTCAAAAAGTAGACATTTAGTATCTCATTGAAAAAAAGTAATAGGAAATAAAAGCATCGAACATTTTCTATGAAAGAACTGTTCAATTTTCTTCATAGAAAATTAGTTACTTCATTAGCAAAATAATACTAGGCTAAATGGCCTTAATTATTTTTTATTAAACAAGATGCTACCTTAGTTAATTCTTTAATAAATTCCTGTTTAGGAATATCAGAATCTAGCTTATCATTTTGTAGGGTACAATAGATGGCCATACTAAATATTTTCAAAGTATATCCACCTTAACGTCTATTAGAAAAGAACAGCCCGAGACAAAAGTATGAAAAAAATTATATTTCTTCATGAATTTTTTTCTCTCCTGTCTCTTTCTCTCTGTATGTTTTGTGTCTCTCCTTTTTATTTCTTATAAGGTCTTATACCTCTTCTGCTGTGTTCTCAAACTTCTCTAAAGTTACAAATGCTATCTCATTCTTGTTTTCTATTATTATCTATAAGAGCAGGAACTTAGGAGAATGGGCTTTCTCTTTAAAATTATACTAGCCAGTTGAATATAATCCTCCATATTTGCCTTTCCAATTAACTCTCAATCTAGAAAAGAATGTTTATGTGGTGGATGGTAGGAATTATTTGAAATAGCTGATGAGCTGAGTGAGCAGATAGGAGTGTAGATGGGATTGTAGGAGGGAGTGTAGGGGATTGTAGGTGGGAGTGTAAGTAGGAGTATAGGAGGGAGGGTAGGGGTGTAGGCAGGACTGTAGAAGGGAGTGTAGGTAGGAGTGTAGGAGGGAGTGGAGAGAGGCTTTTAGATCCCTCCACATTGAACAGTGGCAGGCTTAGCTGCAGGGTCAGTCTGAGTCCTCTGCTGGGTACAAATGACTTTGCTTAAGTTGTTTGATCAGGATTAAGGAGTTATCAATTCTGAGAACAAGAGTGAACCAATCATCAATCATCACTTTACTAAGATTTTGTTCTTGAGCCAGGTGCTGGTGGCTCACGCCTGTAATCCTAGCTATTCAGGAGGCTGAGATCTGAAGATCGTAGTTCGAAGCCAGCCCGGGCAGGAAAGTCTGTGAGACTCTTATCTCCAATAAACCACCAGAAAACCCGAAGTGGTGCTATGGTTCAAGTGGTAGAGTGCTAGCCTTAAGCTGAAGAGATAAAAGACAGCATTCAGGCCCAGAGTTCAAGGCCCATGACCTACCAAAAAAAAAGAAAAAAAAAGAAAAGAAAAAGATTTTGTTCTTTTTAATAGAGGGCAGTTACCTCTTAGAAGGGCAGAGAGGGAAAAAAATTGGCTTTTAAGAACAAATCCTAATATAGGAACAGTTAAATAATTGAACCTAATTTAGCATTTATTTAGTGATTTCTAAAGTGTTTCCTCCTTTCTGGTTGGAAAGTAAGAAATGGAATGTTTAGTTTATGGAACTGATCTTATTAGAAAGCACTGTATTACAAAATCAGAGACCAGTGTCTAAGATAACAGGATTCAGGCTGGCAATGGAAATTATTATTAAGTGACCATTTATTATTTAATAAACCATCCTATTATTTCTTAAGCCATCCGAAATTAAACTGAATTGAGTAGTAGTGACTCTATAGTGCTAGCTGCTCTGTTCTTAGTACTTCATATACTTCAGAAATATATTGTAAGAAAATAAATAAATATGCACACATATCTACATATACGCAAACATATAGATACACAGATATATATGCATACATATATTGATACATATATCACTGTATTTGGAAGACTAAAAAAAGCACTGTACGTTTTAGGTTGACTATTCAATATTTACTACATGGGAATATGCATTTTTACTTGTTCAATAAAGATGAGGGAAAACGTTGCATTTGTGCTCTTCACCTATAAGAGGAAAGTTATTCCTAGAAAGTTTATCAATATTAAGTCACAGTACAGATCTATAATCCCAGCCCTTGGAATTCAGAGCACTAGAGGATGGTGAGTTCATGCACAGTCTGTTCTACACAGTGAGACTGTCAACAAAAAATGGAAGTCATTTTTTAAATCAGTTTCCATTAAGTTTAGAAATAGCATAGCAAAGAACCTTATAATTACAAGAGGGGATAAAACCTATTATCTTGCCCTCAAAGACAATTGTCCTGCTCCATTGGAGAATCACTTGGGGACCTTCCTTCTGCAGAACAATACAATAGACCTGCAAATGTCTGTGATTCTGTGCAGCTCTGTAGGGAACACAGCACTGAAGTTTCATGGCATTCTGTATCAGGTCATTCTTCTCTCTGCCTCGTCTGTGGACTCTGGGTGGCAATCATTTCCACAGGGAAATACTTATGCTAAATATGTACAGGTTTAATTTCTAGGCATAATGTAGAGAATGGGTGAGGAAAGATGATCACATTCACCTCACCTTTCCTTCTGTGAATGGCAGAAATGCAGGCTGAGAGTTTGTAAACATTTCTTGGGGGTAGGTTGGTGGGGGGTTGAGTTAAAGGACCTCTCAGAAATAACAAGCAGTTAATAGATGGCCCCTTTTATTTAGTGTAAGCTGTCATTAGTATCATAAACTGATTTGGGGATTGAGAGGGAGTCAAACTCACCAAAAAAAACAGACTCATTTAGAGAATCTCTCTCATTAATAACTACATGAAACAAAAATGCTCTGATGACAGCTTTACATACCTGTGCCTTCTCACTCTTTTGCTCTTACAAGTTCTACAAAATTCTTTGTTTGCCCTAAGTTTACCTGTCCTGGAAAACAAGACAAAATAAACCTAGAGAAGGCATTCAGAAATACTAGGTATTTTCTCATCTCGGATAAGTGTGCTCAGTGTCTTCAGGATTGAAAACCCTGATTGGGACTTGTACACAGATGGTGGCTTCTCGATGGGTCTTTCCTGGCTGAAAGGCCCAGAGGGCTCTCTGGTGTCTGTTTAATAGGGAAACGAATCCCACCATGAGCCTCTGAGGCCCCATCTCCTCCCAGTGAGGAGGAGGACTGTAGACTATGGATTGTTGAACACACCAGCATTCAGATCAGAGAAGACTACATGGTGCTGCTTATGTCTATAAACATCTGGGCGTATGTTTTCTACTCTCAGTTTTGGAAACTACCTCTGAACCTATGCTGAAGTTTATTGTTTCTTCTTCAGCATCGGTTCTGCTAGCAAACCACTATAGTTTTTTCAGGAAAATGAACCCTTAGATATGTATTTTAATGTTTTTTCTTTCATGCATGTGTTTCTAACGCATTTATAAGATTATCTCTTTGTTGCTTTGTATGTCCCTCCCCCACAGTATAACCCCTGATTTCTCTATATTTGATGTCAGTATAACTTGTGGAGGAGATGGGGAAAAACCAGTTGTTTAAGGATACAGGTGGACCTGTTGCAACAATAAGAAGTACAAGTTGTCATGCCCAAAATGAGCTTTACAATGTCGGTGGTGGGGGGAAGGGGAGGAAGGAGAAGGATTGGGATTGGGGGTGAAGGGGGGAGGCTGGGAAGGGATGTAAACAAAGGAGGAGGCTGCAATGCTTGGTAAGAAATGTATGCATTATCCTGCCCATGTAATTGTAACCCCTCTGTACAGTATGTTCACAAATAAAATAAAATAAAATTAATAAAAAAATTTTCATTTTAATGTATATACTTACTTGATTTCTTGAATGAGGAAATGGTTGCCTTTGGGTATGTTTACGGTGTGGTATGTGTTTACTGGAAAGGAGAGTTTTCTGAGTCTTTCCCTCAACCCTTACAGAATACGATGCCAACACGTGAGTGATGGTAGCCAAGGCAGGTGTGGAAACAGCAGAAAGAGAAGGTGCAGCCTCCTACATGACACATACAGTGTTCCATCCACCTGAAAGCCTACCACTTCTTTGTGTCAGCACCACGGATTAACCTGCTTAATCAGAATTGGACTATATTAAGTATTCAGATTTTGGGAGCTATAGGTTCAAAAAGAAATCATTTTCTTCTTAACCCTTGTCCCTTTGTCAGATTCACTTGCCTACTTCATTTTGATCCAAGGAAATATAGTCTTAGAAAACATGGGGAATAGTGCATCAGGAAATGACCCCTGTAAGAATGAGTAGTAATTGGTTCCTATATCTAGGAGCTTACTCAGAACTTTTTCCAGTCATCATTTTTTTATCTTTGCCAATCCTGGGGTTTGAACTCAGGGTCTGGGCGCTGTCCCTGAATCTCTGGGTTCAAGGCTAGCACTCTACCATTTGAGCCACAGTGCTACTTCTTCCTTTTTCTGAGTAGTTTAATGGAGATAAGAATCTCATAGACTTTCCTGCCTGGGCTCTCTTTGAATGACAATCCTCAGATCTCACCCTCTGGAGTAGCTAGGATTACATGCATGAGTCACCGGCACCCAGCTCCATTCATCTTATTTTACTGTCTTTGTCTAAATCCTGGTTCCAACTCACACCAGCAGGTTAGTGCTGCTTAGTCCCATAATGATTCACATGTTTTTTGATGTCAGTTGGGAAACCATGTTTCTTGAATATTCTGTCCAAACAGCCTCATCCCCTTATTTCCGCTGGGAGAAATATGTGCACTGCTTCCTGTAAGCCCTTGTTGTGGCTCTATTTTCAGTCATTCTTGCCTTACCCCTCAGGTAATAACTACAGAAAATTCTCATTGCATCTTACAATTCACATCCATGAAATTGTACCTCATGTTTTCATCTCTAATCATGACATGTCTGGATTCACCCAATCATTCTTACTAAAGGTTATCTCTTGTTCTATTATTGACCCAGATTGTCAAGATGAAATGGGGTACATATTTCTGCATGCTTTATATTATGTTTTGCTCTTCAGAGACAGAAATGTATGCACACAAACTGATGTATTTAATCATTCTAAGAACAAGTAACATCAGAGAGGCAAAGAAAAGGAAATAGGAAAGAAATTCATGAGGCAGGGTTCATGACCTCATGAGAAAGAAGAAATTACAATTGGAAAAGAATGGCCATTTTCTCTTCATAGAGATGATTCTGATGCCACAGAGAAGATGATGTTTCAAATATTCCTGATCTCATTATCTATCATCTGTGAGGTTATAAAAGAAGAAAGTAAAATGTAGCTGAATTGATCATCAGGACACGATGCTGCTAACATTGGAAATGAAAACCAGCCTGGATGGGTAGTATATGCCTGTAATCTCACCTACCTTCCTCCAAGTGAAGGTAGGAAGGTCAAAGTTAGCAAAGTTAGCAAGATTTTATTCCCCAAACAAATTAACAGACAAATAAACATCCTAGGCTTGCCTAGAAGATACAAGGTCAATCCCCAGTCCTGCTAAAACAAAAACAAGATAAAAATAAAAACAGGGAAGGGATGGTAGGGGGAAAACAATGAAGGGGGTCACAATGCTCAATAGGAAGTGTACTCATTACCTTACTCATGTAACTGTAACCCTCTGTATAGTATCTTTACAATAAAAAATAAAAATAAAATAAAAAATAAAAATAGGTAAAATAAAATTCATTGGTGAATATACTATAGGGAAAATTCATTGGTAAATATACTATAGGGATTGCTAGAAACAACACACTTGATGGGCCTCAAATTGAGGTTGGTCTCACGGATTCTACAGTGAGACAGACAAGAAAGTAACAACTTTGCATCATTCTGTACTAGAACTTATGTCAAAATGTGTCAACTTATAATGTCTATAAAACAGTGACTTGTATCCTGAAGGCTTATAAAAATCTATGTACTTAAAAGGATTTGAAAATTCAAGGCAATGTATTAGCACTGGGATTAGTTGTATTTCAGAGTTCTAAGTCGTTTTATAAAATTACTTTACATTGGTCCCCAAATAAAATTTCCTCCTTTTTACTCATGATTTGTTATTTTTCCCATGTTTTAAGTTAAACACATGTGCTAATCTAAATCATAAATTGTCCATCTCGAAAAAGGGACATTGCCCTATGTCAACAGGATGATTTCTATGAATACTTAAATACCCTTGGGCCACATTTCAAGAGACTAAAGTATAAGGCATCTGATGGAGAATCATGTTCCTACTCACCCAAGCCAGGTCCTTAGCGAGGGCAAGTATCTATGAAATAAGATTAAAGAGGGAGACAAAAATGACAACAATTTAATGGTTCTGAAGACTTTTAATAATTCATATTAAAAAAGGAATCTGGAAAATAGAAAATCTCAATCAGGGAACCTATAGATTAGTTTCCTTTCAGGAAATTTTTATACTATAGGGAGAAGAGCAGTGACTTTACCTGATTCATGGAGATATTGCACACTCTCTTTTCGAATGTGCTTTTCCTCAATCACCTTCTCAAGCTCCTTTTCTTGTTCTTTACTCAGAGTGTGTCCTTTTCCTGTGTGGAAGGGAAGAAGCAGTAGAGAGGCCCATTGGCAAACTGCCTCATTTATAATGTATTGCTATGTTGTGGACAGGTAAATCCCACCAGTTCCCCTCCTCCCTCAAGCAGGTCATATTTAAGTGACACAGTATATCAGATGGGGTCAGAATACCGAATGTCACATTGCATCCCATTTCTTAGCACTGTTGAGGACATTCCAAACTACTTATTCTGTGAATTTGAGCTGCCTATCAAATACAGGCATTTTCAAAACCCCATTGAAGCCTAGAGATGTTTGGACCTGAGGGTTTTAAATCCTAGAACACACTCTAGCTTCTTAGTTTCCACTATGGATATTCAGAAGCCATGCACTGGTATTTTTGACCCCTAATAAAATTCAGATGCGATAGAGATCGGAACTTTTTACTAAGCACGGTAGGCCTGCCACTTACAATGATAGGAAATGAAAAGTCAAAATGACAAATCTTGCCAGGTCCTGGTGCGCCTCATGTCTGCCATCCTACTTAGGAGGCTGAGATCTGAGTATTGTGGTTCAAAGCTAGCTCGTGGAAGAAAAGTCTGTGAGACTCTTATCTCTAGTTAACTAACAAATAGGCAGAAGTGGAGAGTTGGCTCAAGTGGTAGGACATGAGCCTTGAGAGAAAAAGGCAAGTGAGAACATGAGACCTTGACTTCAAGTCCCAGTAACAGACAGACAGACAGACAGACAGACAGACAGACAGACAGACAGACAGACAGACACACACACACACACACACACACACACACAAATCTTCTCCAACATCAAGTCAAATAGATGTTTTATCCCATCTACCTGAAATGTGGGTCTAGTTACATAAAATTGTGGCTCTGTTGAGCTGATCTGAGCTCATGCCTCATAATATTTTGTCTGAGTGTTGAATGTGATTCAGTATTTATTTAGTGACAGAAATGTAAGTTTTATCATTGTAATCAAATAATAATTATAAATATAGCTGAAAACAGTCATGGATACATAAAAACAATTTGTCTGCTGACTTTAGATTTCTTATCTTGGTTCATTAGGTGACACAAAGCAACTCTAGCAGTATGGGGGAGTTGGCAAGAGCCTAATGGACCATCTTCTTTCCCTCCCTCCCTCCCTCCTTCCTACTCCCTCCCTCACCCCTCTTCTACTCTCTCCTTCTCTCCCCCTCCCCCCTCTCTTTTTCTCAGTGGTTAATTAGAGATAACATAAGATTCTCACAAGCTTTCCTGTCCAGGCTGGCTTAAAATGGCAATCTTCAGAATTCAGCCTCTTGAGTAGCTAGCTAGGATTGCAAGTGTGAGGCACTGGTGCCCTGCATTCTCTTTTAATTAAAAGCACATGTGTATATTAACATATATCCTAATGTACACATGTAAAGTCCTATACTTACCAGCAATAAAAATCTGATGCGTGGTCTTTCCCTCTTCATCCACATTGACATTATAAACTGTTACTAAGTCCTTTGAGCACTGTAGAATTTCAATAGAGTTTTTACCTGCATCTACAATGGGAAAAATATAGTTCAAAGCTCCATTTACTGGAAATGATTTGCTTGAACCATATAATTTTTCATCATACCTTAGCAATAATCTTATCTTCACCTGGGTGCCAGTGGCTCATGTCTGTACCCTAGCTACTTACAAGGCTGAAATCTGAGCATCAAGATTTGAAACCAGCCTGGGCAGGCAAGTCTATAAGACACTTATCTCTAATAAAATACCAAAAAAGCTGGAAGTAGAGGTATAACTCAAGTGGTAGAGCACCAGCCTTGGGCAAAAAAGCTCAAGGGCTGCACTCAGGTCCCAAGTTCTAGTCCCAGGACCAGCACAAAGAAAAAGGAAAAAAAAATCTCTCCACTAATAATCTTCCTATCCAGTTAGAATCAACCTGAGGTAGCAATGGATGTTACATGTATGCCTGTTCCATGGTAAGTATCTCCAGTCTTCAACAGTACTTAAACATTAGCAGACCACATATGACTGCATGTTAACCAAGCTTCTAGTTGCAGTGTCTATGTGTAGATAGTAGGTAGAAGCTTCCAGTGCTCTCACACTAGCTCACAAAGGCCAATATTTGAATTTTTAGGAAACATATCTCTCTATTTTGAAGTTCAGCCAATATTAAAATGCAGTTTCATAAACCTATGGGTAAAAATAGCATATTAAAACTAATGTTAACATATATTTCACACTTGCAACTTTCTCTTGGAATAGATAATTTAAAAAAGAGGTATAAATAAAGCCTTAGGAAATGCTTTGCATCTGTCGTAATATAGTTGAATTTAATTACACCCCAATGCTGCAATATAATACATAAATAAAAACTTGTCAGAACATATTAGAATACAGCATGTATAACTTTCCATGAAATGAAGGTGTTTGTTATTTTGTAGACATAGAAACCTGCGTTGTTGTTGTCACTAACATTAACTATTGTTCAGATTATGTACAGTTAATTTGAATAATATTTCTGTTATTTTATCTAGCTTAATTCTTACACATGAGATTGAAGTTGATCAGTTCTTGGTTCCTACAGTTTATTTATTTAACAAATTTTAGTGTTTAAATTGTTCATTCATTAGACAGGGAACTATGATCACATTTGTCAAATAAGAGAAAAAATTTTCTTCCTTTTTAGGGTGCTGGGTCCTGGGGCTTGAACTCAGGACCTGAGTGCTATCCCTGAGTGTTTGCGCTCAAGGCTAGCACTCTAACACTTAAGCAACAGCTCAACTTCTGACTCTGATAGACTTTCCTGCCCTGGCTTTCTTTGAACCACTCAGCCTCCTGAATAGCTAGGATTATAGGCATGAGTCACTAGGACCTGATGAAAAACCCCCATAATTTTGAAAGAAATTTTTTTGGGGGGTCCAGTCATGGAGCCTGAACTCTGGGCCTGAGCACTGTCCCTCAGCTCTTCACCTCAAGGCTAGTGCTCTACCACTTGAGCCACAGTGCCACTTCCAGCTTTTATCTTTATGTGGTGCTGAGGAATCGAACCCAGGGCCTCATGCATGCAAGGCAAGTGCTCTACCACTGAGTGACCTTCCCAGCCCCATTTTGAAAGAATTTTTAGACTTTATGTTAGCTTTCATACTTTTCCAAGGTCTGAAATCCATATGAAATATATACTCTGAGAATTGTCCCCAACTGTCACTGATATTAACACTTTCCATCTGGATAAAGAAGATATATCATCGATCTATACTTAGGACAACCAGAATTCTTGGAAAGTTCAGTTGTTTTTTTTTTTTTTCCAGGGTTGATCAGACATTGTCCTAGAATCCAGACGCCGAGGCATGTGGCATTAGGCAAGCACCATGAATTTGGACACATGCCATGGTTTAAGACACACCATCATTGTATAAGATCATGTACTCACACTCTGCTATGTGAATACCACTTTCATTTCTTTTTCCCGCAACGATGTGCTTTTGGCACTCTCCATTCGACCTTAAAAATAAACCAGCAGAGCAGCCTTATTCTTTACATATCCTTCCACATACCTTGTTTTAAAGAACTACAGGAATTACAGGATAATTTAAGTGGAAAATAGATTAGCTTGCCCTTATACTCAATGTAATGTGTCCATAATCTTGGATATTTTTATTATTCCTTATAAATTTCCTCATTCTTGACAATCATTAACATTGGGTTGGACAATACCTTATTGGCATAAGACCAGTTCTCCCGTTCAGCTATTCCACAAAGATCTTCGGAGTTTGCCATCTAGCCACTGGTGGTTTAGATCTGATCTCATAGTAAAGATTGTTGCTCTATGCCTTTGATACTGACAATCTTCTTCTTAGCTTTTTTTTATTGTCCTGAAAATAATTTCTCTGCCTCTCCCATGAATTTGTGTCTTCTGCCAATTCTGAAATCTAGCTCTTCATCATTTCTAATTCAGGCTATGAATACTTAGCATGGAGTATTTTTATGTGCATGCTTCTGCCACTGAAGTTTATTTGAAATATCAAGACCTCCTCATATATGTGTGGATGAAAATACATGCATATTTATATAAATCTTTCTGTACTGAGAACAGTGTCTCCAAGCTACTAAGCATTCAATAAATATTTACCTATTGATGGTTGTATTTATTTACAGATTGCATATGTTAGGTAAGACATATTCATTTCTTTACATTGAAATCTAATAAGTGGTTCTTAAATCGAGAATTCATTTGTAATAGCTATAACCGTTGGGAAGACTAAAATTCACACACTGGGGTTGTGATTGTCATTGGTACACAGGAGAGGCTTCTAAGTCAAAACTCTTTCCTCATCGCCTCAAGTCCCTCTTATTAATTATATGATTCCTCTACAGTGGCAGAGGATTCTATAGGGTGTCCTTGTGGATGTCAGAGCCCTATTTCCACTAACCACATGCCTTTAGAAATAATTGCCAGAGACTCAACTTCTGCACAAAACACCAATGTTTCATTGCAAATTTGAGGACATGCTACATGTCTGAAGCCAATGGCTTTCCTTTTAGGTTGGAGAAAAAATGGACTTACTTCACGTAAAATGTGAAGGTGATCTCTTCACAATTGTCAATACATTCAAAATGACGTATATAGATCCTCAGGGGTCCACCTTCACTTATCTTCTCTTCATTATCAGATGCTATGACAATAGAGTTCCATTGCTCTAAGACCTAAGAAACACCCCATTGGGAATGTTAGTGGGTCCCTTTCCTGTTTTCTTACCAATACTCATCATCATCATCATTTTTGTTGTAGCTCAGCTGAAAACTAAGTTCAGCAATTTCAGATTTGGATCCCACAGAGCAGATTTATGTAAGATGTCATTAAGATTCAGATTCACAGTGAAAGCACTGAATAGAGCAGGTTTTTTATTTTAATTTATTTTAAAGATGATGAATAGGGGGATTACAGTTACATAAGGTAATGAGTACATTTCTTTTTAAACACTGTAAACCCCCCCCCCTTTTCTCCCACTTACCACTCCCAACCCCTCCCTACCTATGTCATCAGGCACTACAGAAAAGCCACAGAAACTTTTCTCCCTAATGAAAAATATAGAGCTGAAGACAGAAGGATTATTTTTATGAATATGAACATGCATAAATAGACCACCATTATAAAATCTCATAGGCACAGCAAGATAAAGTCTCACACACACACACACACACACACACACACACACACACACACACACACACACACACAAAGCAACCTCCCTGAGCCTACCCAGGGTACCTGTGAGGATATGACCGCAGTTAGAGGTTCATTGTCAGCACAGACCACACCGATTATAAAAGCTAGCAGCAGAGCCTTCATCCTGTCAGTCTTCATCTGTCTGCCTTTCCTCTTCTGAAGAAGATTAAGGTAAGTCAGTTGTTACAGAAAAGCACAATCGATGCTCCATTTTATATTATTGCTACATTGGCACAGAAGTTAGTGAACCAATTGTTGTTCATCATAAAACTGTTTGTAGATTTTCTCAAACATCCTGGTTGGCAGTGGTGGGCCAGAAGGACTTTCTGATATTTTATTAGTACTAAGGTATTAGTACAAAGAGAAACTTTTGAAAGCATAATGCATAAAGCTAATTCTCAAGAACAAAAAATATTGATGTCCGAATTACTAAAATCAATGTATTATGAAGTTACTATATGTCATCTCCATCTCTAAAATGACATGCTTAACCTAGAGGTGGTTTGCTGAAACTTAGTAAAATCAAAGATGATAATCCATATTAAAATATGATATTCACACATTGGATGAAGGTACAATGAGGAACCTTACATTTAAATTTAAGAAAACATTTCTAAGAGTACAAATTCTTTTCTTTTTTCTTTTTTTATTGTGAAAATACTGTACAGAGGGGTTACAGTTAAATGAGCAAGGTAATGAGTACATTTCTTATCAAGCATTGTTGTCTCCTTCTTTGTTTTTCCCCTACCATCCCTTCCCTCCCACCTCCACAACTGCACTACCCCCCCTAAATTGTAAAGTTCATTTTTCAACAGTGTGTTGTACATTTCATTGTTACGATGGGCCAACCTGTATCTCTATATAAACATTTTGTTTTTTCCCTTCCCATCCCCAAATTATACCAACATCAAACACAGTGAAAACAGGGGTTAGACCATGGGGGAGGAAAATACAAAGCAACAAAAAAAATCACATGGTACCTTATAAATACATTAGAAACAATAGAAAGAAAAAAAACACTTGTTTCCCTATCTTAGGGTTCATTTTGCTTAACTTCATCTTATCTGGTCATATGTGCATAGCTTTTGACCTTTTCTACTTGTCCCAGACATATACTAGCCATTGCAAATAAAGGAAATCATGGGACCTATGTTTCTTTGGGCCTGGCTTACTTCACTTAATATAATTTTTTTCAAGTCCTTCCATTTCCTAACAAATGGGGTGATGTCATTCTTTCTGATAGAGGCATAGAATTCCATTGTAAGTATATATATATATATATATATATATATATATATATATATATATCACGTTTTCTCGATCCATTCATCTACTGAGGGGCAACGGATAAGGGTCTCATATCTAAAATATATTTGGGACTCAAAAAATTACATCTCCCAACAACAAATCCTCAAAGAAACAACTGCCCAAAAAATAAATGGGCTAAAGACTTAAAGAAAAACTTCTCTGAAGAGGAAATAAGAATAGCCAATAGACACATGAAGAAATGCTCTACCTCTCTAACCATAAAAGAAATGCAAATCAAAACAACATTGAGATTCCACCTCACCCCAGTTAGAATGGCTATAATCAAGAACTCTAATAACAATGGATGCTGCAGGGAATGTGGTCAGAAGGGAAACCTACTGCATTGTTGGTGGGAGTGTAAACTTGTTCAAATTATTTTCTATTGTAGGAATTATGTATCTTTGCTGATCTTTACATCCATGTTCAGTTAAGCTATCCTTTGAAATTTTTATGAGTAACCAAAATACAATATTGAAAATATGGACCTTTATTCTCCAAATTACAGTAAGAGAAGTTGCTGGTCCTAATTGGTAGGATCATGTCAACTCTTAAAAAGTATAGAAGCCTGGCACTGGTGGTCACACCTATACTTTCTAGCTGCTCAGTAGGTTGAGATCTGAGGACTGCTGTTCAAAGCCAGCCAAGACAGAAAAGTCTGTGAGACTCTTCTCTCCAATTAACAGCTGTGGCTCAGGTGGTAGAGTGACAGCCTTGAGCAGAAACCTGCTCTAGAACAGTGCTCAGACCCTGAGTTAAGGTCCTAGTACTGCCGCCTCTGTCAGTATATATAGAACAGTGAAACAAAAACTTGTGGAAAGGAAAGGGAGTGAGGAAGGTTAATAAAGAGTAATATAGAGACAATTTAATCACAGTACATTATGCTCATGTTGTTAATATCACAATGACTCTGCATAATTAAGTTATGCTAATAAAATTTTTAAATGAAAGATAAAAGACTAATTCTGGGCTGAAGACAGTGAAAGAAATTGAACTGCACTTGTATTATTGAACTGTTTTCTGGAGCTGAAAACTATCACTGAACTGAATCATGAGTTTTTTCAGGCTTCTTTGGAATATAATGAAGTAACTTTTTACATATTCTGATAGCTTGGTAAGTCTTGAATGATGTGGGGATTTGTTTTCCCCATTCTGAATCAGGAGAAATCTTCCTCTATCCAACTATCGTTTGTACCTTTCCCTCCAAAACCAATCTTCAGTTTATTGGCACTCCTAAAATAACAGTGTTCTCTAGAATTTTATAAAACTGGAATCTTAATATACACCTGTTTTCTTTATCTGGCATATTTTATTCAGCTTACCTATTTTCACATGTGCCTCTATTGTGATTTTTTTTTGTATAGTTCATTCCCGCCACTCACTGAGTAATATGTGACTGTATCATGTGCTTAGTCAATTGAATATCTATTCCTACATATTCCTAGATCTTTATATTTGGAAACAAACCTGAACATTTGTGTATACATCTTCACAAAGAACTGTGCTGTTTGATTTTTGGCAAGCTTTTATGACTAAAATTGATGAATGAAATTTTCATAATTGCATATTTCCATCAACAATATGAGAAATTACGTTACTCAAAATTGTTGAACCAACTTTGGCATGGTCAGTCATTCCAACTCATATATTCTATATCCTTTGATTATTTGGTTTTTTATTATGGAATTTGGAATTTCTTTTTGCATTCTGGATATGTTATTTTTCTAATAGATGATTATGAAATATTTTCTCCTGCTATAGTTTATTTATTATTTTCATGCTGTCTATCAAAGACCAAACATTTTAGCTTCAATAAAAGTTATTTTTTCCCAAATTTTAGAAATATATCTTGGGTTTATTTTATTTTGTTTTATTTTATTTTTTTTGATTGTGAAAATACTGTACAGAGGGGTTACAATTACATGGGCAAGATAATGAGTACATTTCTTATCAAGCATTGTAGACTCCTCCTTTGTTTCCCCTTCCCATCCCTTCCCATTCTCCCCTCGCCCCTGCACCCAACCCTCCTTCCCACCCACCAAAGTTGTAAAGTTCATTTTTCCACATAACATCTTGTACATCTCATTGTTGCAATGGATCCACCTGTATCTCTATTTAAATGATTTGTTTTTTCACTTCCCCTCCACAAATTATAACAACATCAAATACAGTGAAAGCAGGGGTTATACTATAGGGGAGGGACATACAAAGCAGCAAAGAAATAATCTTATAAATGTGTTTGAAACAATCACCTGAAAGAAAAAATAACGTTTGAATATGTATCTTAGGGTTCATTTCCCTAACATCAACTTATCTGAACATTTTTGCTTGACTCAGACATATACTAGTTATTGCAAATAAGGGAAGCCATGGGACCTATGTTTCTTTGGGTCTGGCTTAGTTCACTTAATATAATTTTTCCAAGTCTTTCCATTTCCTAACAAATGGGGCAATGTCATTCTTTTTGATGGAGGCATAGAATTCCATTGTGTATATATATATACCACATTTTCTTGATCCATTCATCTATGGAGGGGTATCTGGGTTGATTCCATATCTTACCTATGGTAAATAATGCTGCAGTAAACATAGTCGTGCTGGTAGCTTTAGTGTGGCCATGTTTGTGATCATTTTGGTAAATGCCCAAAAGTGGGATTGCTGGGTCATAGGGGAGCTCTATGTGGAGTCTTTTGAGGAACCTTCATACTGCTTTCCAAAGTGGTTGAACAAGTTTACACTCCCACCAACAATGCAGTAAGGTTCCCTTCTGTCCACATCCCCTCCAACATTTGTTGTTATTAGAGTTTTTGATTATAGCCATCTCCCAAAAATACTTGCCCAACCCAAGGCCACACAACTTTCTTCTAAGTCTTCTAAAGATTTTCCAAGCTTGGAAATGCTCTTTGAATTAGTTCTAGTCCATGCTACAACTCATGTTTTGAGGTACTTTTTTATGATGGATATTTACTCTTTCCTATCAGCTTTCCTATTAAATGACTTCCAAAATGCTTGGTTTCCTTAGAAATAATATAAGGTATAGTGAAGTTCAAAGACTAATCAACTCAGAAAACTCTGAAAAAAAATAATTATTTAATTTTCCCATGAGTGAAAAAAATTGTCCAAGTCATACTGAAGATTCAATCCGTTCTGTTTTTAGAGTTCCTGCAGAATCTTAGGCAAATTGATTCACCCAGGAAGGTAAAGGGCATATCCAGTTTAAATTAAATTATTTCTTTCTATTTTCTTAGTTAATCCTATTGCTGAATGACTCTTGCATGAAAGGTTCCTAAACCCTGTTGGTATAAAATAATATGAACCATCTGGGTTCATTATTTCATTTACTTATAAATATTATTATTAGGTACATGTTAATTTCTAATTTATCGTGTCTTCTTTTTCTGTGTAATCAAAAAAGTGACAGGAAACCACTAGAATTTTTAGAACCTAAAAGACAAAGACAAATTATTTCCTATCTCCGAAAAAACAATTATCCTGAAGCCCACCGAAACTTCTTTGATTTTATTTCTATTTCTACTGTTCCATCAAGATGTACCTTAAAGAGATATCGTGCTTCTCTTTGTAGATCAGAACACACTGTATACACTAAGAAATTCCATCTCATCTGGGTAAAAGTACTGAAAATAATGACATAGGAATCCAGCCCTAGAGATACATCAGATTCTCAGAGCATGCTATTCATTTGATATCTGACCTTTCAGATTAACTTAGCTGAATGAAAAAGTCTTCAGGCTACTCCTTCAATTTTAGATACAAGTCCTTTTTCTAATAGGAGTTGTAGGACTAAGAGGACTAATATG